CACACACACACACACACACACACACACACACACACACACACACACACACACACACACACAAAAGACGGTTACAAACTCTCACATGGCAGCCTGTTTGCTGAGCCACTGCTGACAAGCCTTGCCGTCCTGGATGTACTGCAGCACGTCGCACAGCATGGTCCTCTTCCTGCGCTCGTCCTCGCGCACACGCTTCACACGCTCGTACACCTTCGCACCTGATGGGACGACACGAGTCGACAGGTGTGAGGAACGGGAAACAAGTTCTGTTATTAATTCATTTTTTCCCTAACAGAGCACTTTAATCTCACTGCAGGTTTACTTCCTAGAGGTTCTGAAAGAAAAACTCTTAAACATCTTCCTGTTTCAGTCTGTGAGGCCGACACCCTTTAGGACCTAAACGTTGTATCTTCACTGTTGGAGACAAACAAAGAAGAGGTGAAAGACTCACTGCAGAAGGATTTGATCCCTGCCTTCCTGTACTCCTGCAGCCTGTGGATCTCTCTCCTCAGCTCAAACTCCACTGCAAAGACAAACAGTTGAAGGCGGTTTAATGCAAATCTGCACCGTGTTCCTGAGCTTCTTCACAACAGAAATAACATTTCCTAAGTTATCACAGGTTGCCTGGTAACTATTTAGAGCCTGAAAAAAGTTAGATGCAGCATCTTAAAAATAGCAATTTATAAATTTGCATGAGTGGGGGAAAAAATAATCTTTTGTGGAAGTGAGCGGGCTTCCAGAGACTGCAGCACCTTTCACAGGCGCATGAAAAAGAAGCTGAATCGGACCTGATCAACACCACACAGAGTCCGACTCAAACAGGACCGCCACTCCACCGAGCCGCCTCGGACAGATACTAACGCGCGTGACTTTCGATGAACTTGTCGTGTTCAGTCGGTCCGACGACTCGGGCGAATCTTCTCATGATGTCGTACAGCTCCTGCACCTCCTTCGGGTAGCATCGCTCCAGCACTGACGAAGAGGAGAGACAAAAATAACTAAATAACAACAACAATCCTCCCCCTCAGACGCTTTTAGACAGAAGTCTCAGGACTTTTAGTGCATTCAGGAGAAAACAAACAAACAGGTTAGCTCATCCTCACAATACAAACGCTCAGCTGTGCGTCGTATTTAAATATATAAACAAGATCAAAACAAAACGTTTTATCCACTTTAATAAAAACTGTGAGGTGATGATGATTAGAGACAAAAATAAACAAGTAGAAAGAAAAGTTTAAATTAAAACTTTAATAAATTGTGTAAGAAGTGCAAAGAGAACAAAGATTTGGGACCTATGGTAACCACTCACCTGTGTCTGTCACTAAGTTCAGGGTTCCTACAGGTTAAGGCAAGTTAAATTTGACTTTTTAATGCTGATTAAAATTAAATTTAAGACCAATTTCATAATACAAATGACAAAAAAATAAAACTGTAGCAGAAACTCATGAATCAAAGTATTTTTGGTTGAAGTATTCAAATATTGCTAATAGACCAATTGTTTTTATTGATATCGAACTACTTTTTCATCAAACATAGCAAAAACATTCTTAGCAGTCAGTTTAATGATCCAAAATTTGGAGTTTTAGGACCACAGTGGGCTCTTAACCCCAGTTTTCTGTATATGAAACCTTAAAGTGCCTGTGACATCAAATTTTGTAAGAAATATGAACGCATTTTTGAAAAGATGACATTATTAACATATTACAAAACAAATTTCACATTACTTAGATGGACGGTTGTTGAGATTTTTGCATGTGAAGTAGCAGGAAGTGATGTCAAAGGGTCTGCATGTAAATATTTAAAAAAATATATTTTTAACAATTATTTAAATATTTGAGATATTTACAATGTGTTAACATTTTAAGACCTCTGAAAGATTGATTTAAGACATTTTAAGGCAAATTAAGGCCTTATTTTTGGATTGATGAATTCAATGCATTTTAAGACTTTTTAAGGGTTTGCAGGAACCCTAAAATTTAACAAGCCAGACAAAAACACTGATGAATATTTTCAAAAATTATGAACTGTGACCGTCAGAAGACTCTGATAGATGCAAATGTGAATTTTTAATCTGCCTACAGTGTTTTATAGAGAAGATACAAGTTAAATACAATAAGATCCTTTAATATTTTTAGTTTTGAAGAGAATATTTGGAAATATAACTAGAGTTTTGATGTATAATTTGTACATGTAGCCAAAACCGTTATGGGAGTAAGAAGCATTTGAAAGTTTAAGACAATTCAAAGGTGACATTCTGCAGAAAAATCCGTAAAAAAACTAAATAAAAATCCAAAGTTTCCTAAACTTCATAATGTCAATATCAAACAGAGAGATAACAGGAACAGTTGTAAAGAAAAAGAAAACTACAAAAAGCACTTCATAGGACTGGTGGAAAACAAAACCTTGTTTTAACAAATCCTAGCTCTGCGGAGCGACACGTTCGTCTAAAACCTCTTCTGTTAAGAGTAGCGGCTGTTCTCAGAGCTGCTCCGGATATTCAGCTGATAAGATCTACTGAGGACGCTGCAGGGGAAGGATTTGTTTCCTGTAGCAACCAAAAACCTTTAGCTTTCATCCACACAACCGAAACAGACGGAGCTCCAGGTATCTTTACACACACGTTATTATCATGATCTACTGTCGACACTTTAAGTTTTTCTATCGTTGCACTAGGGTTGGGCAATATTGGCAAAAAAAATAATAGTCATGATTAATTGTGGTATTTAGCCGATAACGATTAATTTGACAATTTAATCCTCTGGACAACCTTATGTCCTGGTCACATGACCAATTTCGTGGGAAAGATTTGCTCATAAAAATCTGTTCCAAATTGTGTCAAAATTACACACTTCAGGCATCAACTTTTAAATTGTGTTGATAGATAAACAAATTACAGAACTTTTTTTAATGTTCGTCACATTTGAAGCGGAGACGAGCACCGAGTGAACTCTGCCTGGTGGCATTAATCATATTAATCGTCAAGTGACAAAAAATAATCAATTTTTTTTGATGATACGATTATGGCCAGCCCTACATTGCACAAACTCTTTGAATAAGTCATAAAATGTGAGTTAATAAGAATCACATCTCGTTTTGATCATTTGTTTGGTAAACTGATCAGATCACAACGATTCACTCTGAGGCCCTGTTGTTGCAAATAAACATAAAAATCCCTGTTTACATTAACATCGCTGGGCTCATTAAAGCTGCTGAACCACGATCAAAAGGCTACGCTTTCACCTGGATCGTGTGAACAGGACCCACATCTGCAGGAGGAAAGAAAAATCAGCCTTGACCAACAGCTAAAAAAACCGCTTCTAACCTTTTAGATTTCAGTCATTCTGTTACCGAGGCCACGGGACGTTTCAATACGACTGCTGCATCCAGGAACGAACTGATAAATGACTGAACTGATGAAATGAATGAATGAATTTATCACTGAGTGATGATCGCCTGCAGCTGAAAGCAAGAGGTGACGAGAACAGACCTGAAATTATAGGTTCAAACACAATCATGTTCAAGCTTCCTAATTTAGACCTTGATTGTAGAAAAAAAACGATCTCCTGGTGTGTATTCACCACACACACACACACACACACACACACTGAGGCTTGTGTTCATCTGAAAACTCTCGCCGTGTTGCTGAGTAACGGACGAGTGTTTGCGAGCCGCAGAGAGGAGAGGCTGTTGGTTTGTGCCGGTCCAGCTCCACCATCAGACTCCAACATCTGAGCGCTAATTAGCAGCTGCCGTCTGGGGCCGAGCACATGAAGTCACGCTTCTAACAACACGGCAAAGTTGTTACATCTCCAAGGAGATAAACGCTCTGACCTGTGTGTGTGTGGGGTGGGGTTTGTGTTTGGTGACATTTGGGGACCTAAGTTGAGTCCCCATTTGGTTCAAATACCATTTGGAGGGGGTTGGGTTTAGGACCAAGGTGTGAATTGAGTTTAGGTTAGTTTTAGGGTCAGGTAGGTACCTGTGAGGTTAGCCTTAGGGTTTGTGGTCAGGGTTAGGCTGTATAAATATAATGGAAGTCAATGGAATGTCCCCAAATGTATAACTGGGCGAATGTGTGTGTGTGTGTGTGTGTGTGTGTGTGTGTGTGTGTGTGTGCAG